CAACTCTAGGAAAGGATATTTCCGTGGCCACAGAAAATACTTTCATACAGTATTAATGCATTAGAGCATGTAGTAAGGATCAAAATCGTAAAGGGACATTAATTTGCAAGGCAGAATCAGAAACTCATGTAATTTGTGCACAATAATTTTATTAACTAAATGCTAACACATAACTAGTCTAAACAAACACTCATACAATCACTCATACATGGGGAAAGGGCAAATGAGACTTGATGGATGAAACCATCAGGAAAACCAGAGAATGAAGCTATGAAAAGAGTCCGTTAACCAGCCAAGTAAAACCATCAGTGCCGTTTATAACGGGGTACTAATATATTGCCTATGTACCAACATATATATATATATATATATATATATATATATACTCTCGTTTAGATCATCAGAAGATGAATTCATAGATACTAAACATGGTATAGGTAAGAATACATGAACAAGGGGTTCTATCATAAGCATGCATAAAACAGTATACAATAAAAAAGACAATATACAAGAACAGTAATGATAAACAAAATGGACCTGAGGATATGCGTGTTCATTTAAAGACAGGTTTGTCTATGAATTACTTACAGAACAGTCCATTTCTCTGGGCATTATGTGTCTTTCCTATGAGGAAAATGAGTGAGAGTTGCTCTGCCCGCATTCCTTTGGGCAATAAAACCAGTGATATCAGCATTGGTTGCCATGGAACCAGAGGCCTGTTCTGCCTTTCTGAGGTGTTAGATGCATTTCGTGGGAAGGGTCCATAGACCCTCATAGTTGGTTTGTTGATTGAGGGGTGTTACAGAGTATTTGTTAAATATAACTAAAAAAAGTGTGTGTCTGATTGGTCCAGATGCCACAAATATCCCCCCTTTCGAACGTTGTTGTCTGTCGAATAGACAACAGCGAGCAATGTCAAAGGTGCAAAACAATCAGACACCACGTCCCACTCACGTCTGGGAGACAGAGAGTGGTGGCTCTCTGGCTGTTGTTGCCTCCAGGAGTGGTTGTGGTGCCATGGTGGATGCTGTCAGGTGGTGTGCTGTGGTGATGTAAGCTGTAGCAAGGTGCGGGTTCTCAAGCTTGTGCAGAAGGTGTCGAGGCAGTGTCACCTGTCATCCTGAAGTGAGTTGGTTCAAGGAGCTCTTTTGCTAGTGTCAGCTGCTCCTATAACTCAGAAGTAGGCGTGTTCAGCTGTCCTTGTGTTGCCTCCTTGTCCTTGTTGGGCACTGGTGTGAAGGAGGATGTTGTGGGGGACTGTCGTAGGACATACCATGGTGTTCGCAGGGTGAGGACGGCCTTTTCCATGGCTTCTGCCAGTGGTTGGTCTGGAACCTGGGTCTGTTGCCATGGTGACGTCTCTGTCCTCCA